GTGGTATTTACTGGGCTTCGTTGTAAACGTATGGATATAATCCTGTCACTCACAATGTTGTACTTTAAGATGGATCTAGAAATTACTTTTTTTACTATAAAGGCAACCCAATTTTCCCTTGTCTTTTCATCTCCAGAGTAATATATCATATGGTCTTCAGACTCAAAATGGCCCATGCCAGTCCATCTCATCTCTCCAATGCCTAACATGTCAATATTTATGCGTTCCATTTCTTTCTTAACAATTTCTAATTTTCCTTCATACATGGCTCTCACATTCCATGTACCAATCATTAGGGTCTGCCTACAACTGTTCCTCCTCCTTTGTGTTTCCATACTTGATAGTTCTACCTAGGTTGCCCTTTTTGTTAATCTGTGTGTGTTCTGTTGTGCATAGGGTTTTCAGAGGCCTGCTATTTCAGAAGTGGGTGGCCAGCTCCTTACCACTAGGCCAACAGAGCTCCCCCTATATATATTCATACACATATATAAAACATGTATGTGGACCCAAGGGGGGAATGGGTGGGAACAGAGGGGTGAGGATGGGTATTTATATTATTAAAATAATAAAAGAATGGCATCATAAATGTTGATACATGTATATTTATACGCATATATAAAGCATGTATGGGGATCCAAGGAGAAAAGGCATGAGAGCTAAGGGATGAGGATTGGTACGGGCAAAATGACAGAGTTGCACAATTTGGTGGATTGAGGGAAGGGACTAAAGGAAATGGGAAAGATCTGAGGGGGGCCTGAAAAGACAGGGTTATTGCAGCCATAGTCCAATGGTGATTAATGTTATAAAACATAATGGGAATTATTGTATGAAACACAATGAGAATGACGAACAGTGTGGAACACAATGTATATGAACTTTGAAAGCAACCAGTATAAAAGATTTTTTTTAAAAAAGAATTATACCATCTGAAAACAATGATTAATAACACTAAAGGCAGAGAAATTAGATGTCATGTCTCTCAATGTGGTACAATAGATAATCAGCAGAAAGTATGGGACAAAATCTATGAAATATTCTAGCTCCCAGATTAGACCTGAACCTATTTAGTAATCTAGATACAACTAAAAGTTAACAGAAAATAGGGAGGAGAAAAATTTGTGTTAAAACTAGAATCTGCAGAATCTAACATGTTGAGAAATTTTATAGTATAGTTGATCCCATTTCTTCAATATATAAATAAGAAGAAATTAAAAGATAATTAAAAAGGAAAAGGAACTATAGCAGATTGTAAAATATTTAGATGTTAGCTTTTCTGATTTCTAATTCAAAGTCATTTTTGAAGACATTCAGGAAAAACTGAATGTGCACTTGATATTAGATGCGTATTTTTATACTGTTGTTGTTATGTGCCGTCAAGTCACTTGTGACTCATAGCGACCCTGTGTACAACAGCCCTAAACTCTGCTCTGTCCTGTGCCAATCGCACTGTCTCCAATAAACCCATCCCAATTACCCCAGTCTCTGAATCAGTCTACCTCATAGAGGGCCTTCCCCTCCTGCGCTGTCCCTCCACGCTACCAAGCATGATGTCCCTCTCCAAGGACCGGTCCCTCCTTACAAGATGTCTAAAGTATGTTAGATGGAGCCTCAGAAACCTTGCCTCCAAGGAGCTGCTCGGTTTGACCCTTTCCAGGGTGAATCTGTTTTCCTAGCTGTCCATGGTACCCTCAGTATTCATCTCCATCACCACAGCTCAAAGGGATAAGTTCTCCTTCTGTCCTCCTTGATCATTGTCCAACTCTCTGATGCATAACAAGTGAGTGCAAAGACCATGGCCTGTATCAGACGCACCTTAGTCTCCAGAGAGACACCATTGCTCTTCAGTACTTTGGAGAGGTCCAAACAGCAGACTTT